ATGTCGGTTCAAAGGAACATCTTACCAGGGAAGACTTAACTTCCCATGGAACTTTAAGTTGAATCCCCCAGGTGAATCGATAGAGCCTGGGACGATGATTACAAATGTGAAGACCGAAATTGCTATATGAACCTGTCAGGAGAACCTGGTTATTAGTGATCAAAGTGGTCCCAAGTTCGTTTCCCCGTGGTGACTAAATTTTGAATTGAGACCTAGGCAAATTGATAGAGCCTAGAATGTTGGTTGCAAATATGTGGAGTAAACTGTGACGCGAACTCGCTTGGGAAGCGATCAAATGGCTATTAATGCAGCGTTGGTATAATGATACTTGATGAAAGCGTACCTGCAAGGGATTCTGATGGCCCTGATCACGAAGATGACATCTATTCTTGGCGCAAACGCCATTTGGCACCATTCTGGAAGCGCCAACCTAGGATGCAAAATTTTGTCACCACGGTCACCAATGTCAGTTTTACCATGATCCCAGACTATCGATCCACCTAGGTCTCAATTCAAAATTTAGTCACCACGGGGAAACGAACTTGGGACCACTTTGATCGCTAATAACTTCCTTGACAGGTTCATTAGCAGTTTTGGTCTTCACATTTGTAATCATCATCCCAGGCTCTATCGATTCACCTGAGGTCCCAATTCAAAGTTCCATGGGAAGTTAAGTCTTCCCTGGTAAGATGTTCCGTTGAGCCGACATCTTTCAAATGATTCCTTTTCAGACCGAGAAAGAAAATCGCCGTCTTCTGCCGCTCTTCATACAGTTTCACACATGTGCTGAGGCGAGGCCGGCAGAGGCGCACCTCATCGACCGACTTTCCGAAAACGCGCTAGGTCGATTCAATCTCGAACTCAAGAAGAATGTCACCCACGATTCGTTTGCGGTGGGTTCCTCCAAAAAATTTCATCTTTTTTCTATCGATTTTTGACGATACAAAATAAACTTTACTTCTGCTCGCAAACCATCCACTTCGCATTACTAGTTAGTACTTATTTCTGCAATTCTGATCACCGATCAGAAGTTTCGATTGTACCGATTGTAATAATTCGACTCTGATCTCTGTCGAACTGGAAACAGAGGTGGACTGCAAGCCATTTCGAGAGAGCTCGGCGATCAGTTCGTGTTTCGAAGCAGGTTTCGAGGATCGATAACCGCCCGCCGATGATATTGCGATATACGTCGTTCGTTGCGGTACGCTGACGATCACCGTACATTTTTTCAGGAATGCGATTCGTGGAGAGATGAAGCCGGCTTCATCGTCACTGACCGTAACCGCTTCGCCTACGTGACGTTCAACGCATCCGTTCTACTCTCATCACTCACACCCTCCAAAGGTGAGTGTGAAGCATGACACCGTCTGGCAAGTTCCAGCTCACACAAGGCTGCAGTGTTTGTTGGCGGGGTCATCAGCCCATCCAGCCACCGAATATTATCTCCAAGACCTGACACGAGCTAGCTGAAATGTCCTCTGAAGGTCAACGCTCGCTCTCAAAGTAGTGTTTTGCCCACAGTCCGCCGTCACGAAACTTCCGATATTTCACGCTTATTCTGGGTTTTGGGCGGAAGTGGTGTAGTGGCAAGTGGCACGCTTACCACGCGAGCGGTCCGGGGATCAAATCCTGGGTCGTGAGTCGCCCGGGCCAACCAAGCCTTCCATCCCTCCGGGGTCGGTTAATTGGTACCAGACTTGTCTGGAGGATCCAGTGTCGGGCCCAGGTTGACAGGCCGGCTGATGAAGACCCCCGTCACAACAAATATGTCTAAAGTCGAAAAAGGAAGCGGACCCTGCGACTGCGCGGGACTAAAGCTAGGGAGAAGAAGAAGAAGACTTGTCTGGGAGGATAAAAACACTGACTTGTACATCGGCTGGCCCCCGCAAGTCATTGTATAGGCCACATCGCATTCAAACGCCACTACGAATGTACAAATGGAAGTAGAATGCGTGCCGCATCCCAAAAAGGGATTGATCAACGGCAAATGCTTTATCCTTTCATATGGGGTTTTGGGGCTATGGTATTCATTGTACGGTTGCTTCCGTGACGAAGGAAAGTCGTTGAATCACGTGCTATGAGGGGCCTTTTGTGTACCGAGCTCGACAATGAAAGTGAAAGGAGACGCCATTCAAGCGATACTGTACCACCCATCTTTCCTTTAGAGACGGTTTTTGATCAATTACAAGGGCTGTTTAACTTGGAGGACGTGACCACTACGGCGCCGTTTTTTGGTATCGAAAAAAGGGGCGCAAAACTGAAGTCTCTCGCTAAAAAAAGCATAAAGGAAGATTGTATCCTGCACTGAAAAGTGGAAAACAATGAAGAAATGTTCTAACAGTTTAGACATCAAGATTACCAGATATACTGCCGCCGATTTGGATGCACTTTGTGATTTCGACCATTCCGTGTGCGGATTCAGCAGAGAACAAGCAGTTGAGGTAGGGTCGCTACCGTATTCTGCAGGCATTTCTATCTCATACCAACAATTCAGTTTGTCGTCGCTAACTCCACCGTTTTTGTGGCAAAAGGAGACGGCTGCATAAATGGTATGGTCGCGTGCAGAGGGAGCAAGGTGTGTTGTTTTGTCACGCTTGCTGTCCTCTATCTCCTCTGCCTTTATGCGGACCCTTAATTTGCTTTTTGGACGTGTTCTTGGACTCACCGCATGTGCAAAATAGAACCAGGGCCAACAGCGACGTCCGCACTTTTAAAGAAATTTCGTGACCCCCCTCCTTTAGGGGGTCTTGATGCGACCCCCACACCACCATGAGACTCAGGAGGCTCCCCAATACGACCACCCTTCTTCCTACCCCGACCACCACCCTCGCCAGCCATCATGGCTGTTTCTATAGTATTTGATTCTGAGACCAGTCGACACAGCCCAACTCCGCCCACTTTCTCCTCAAACAACCGTCGAGTGGGGGCCATTTACAATCCCCAAAAAAACCAACCCATACCGCCTCGCCATTCACTCAATTCACTTAAAAATTGCTCGAATTCAAAATTCAAATCCCACTCAACCCCTTAATGCGACCCTTCTCCTCAAAACCAACCACAAATGCGACCCCCTCGTGCGAATAGTGCGAACGCACGGGTGAATCCTGGATAGAACTCTCTCTACATTTCGTCGTACATTTGAGCAAAGAACGTTGTTCCTAACATTCGTTTTGGCCATTACCAATTCAAGGGCGAATCCAAAATTGCTAAGAACGATATTCTCGGAGATGACCGAAGGAGAATCTTTATTGAAAAACCGGTTCCACTGGGTTTGACGCGCGTCTTCTCCTCTTTTCAGGGCTAAGGCCATTCTTATGAATAATCAGTCCACAACCCAAGCTTGTAGGTAGATATAGTGCTTAGCATTTCATATCAATTTCTTTCAATTGCGCCACGCGTTTGGCTTCAGCTCAGAACGATTGAGGGATGTGAATGATTTCAACTCGGATGACTACCGGGCATCCAGCCTTTCTACCAGCTTGTAAGTAATGAACGGAACCTAGGATGAATCACTCAAACAAACAAAATAGCTCTAACAACTGCTCCCCCTCGTTCTTAGATTCAAGTGCTACAGTGGGAAAGCTATTTCCTGATGGACACCCTTCTTAGGTGAGTTGGGGATCAAAGGCATGTCCCAGGATCTAAATTGGTGTGGTTCTTGCACACGAGTGCGAATGTGTTGGTGTGAAAGAAGTGGTAGAGAAGAAAGGAAATGAATCGGTCGAAACGCTTAGGTTATAAGAGTCACCACCTTATAATAGGCCTGTGCTAAAAGAGGACCAAGCGTATGGATGGAGAGAAGACGCAGTAGCGCGCAGCGATTCGATGGAGAGTGACAGAGCCATGGATAAAAAAAGTGAGCGAAAGCAGCTCGCTTTGCAAGAGTGTGGGTTGATTTTGAGTGCCGGAAAGGCTAATCTGTGATTAACCTCTAGATTTGTCTACACGGAGGGAATCGTGTACACAATTTGCAGAGAGTTTGTGCGTTAATACTTAGTACAGTGTTTTCGAATCGGTGAGTGCCTATAGAAACAATGCGGCCAGTCCGGGCGTAATGATGGGTGTTCAGTATGCCTATATCGTCTGTGACGGTTTTAATGATAGGTTGTCGAATCGCGATCGTCGCGCGGTTCGTGAGTCTGACCACAGCCGTCACTGCACGGTCCACGGAAATACAAGGTCCCGACAGAAGACAGCAGAGTTTTCTCTCGATTCATTTCTGCCTGAGTGCAATGGTGGATGACGACTGTCGTATCTATTTTTTTTCGTATTCAGGCTTGGATAATTTTCAAATGAGGGTCTTGATGGCCGCAATGTGCTTGGGGGGACAGTCACCACACGCGGCTCAGCGGTGTAGTGTAACTCAACATTCCGCTTCTCACGCATGCTAAGTGACTGCCCTCACCCCCCACCCCCCTGAATTGGCTACATTCCCCCTGGCTCACGAATTTTCTGTTGCCGCAACGCCGCGCGCGGCGACTGCCACCCCTCGAGCCACATTGCGCCCTTGCGATTTTTACGAATCGCGAGAATCTGCGACGAGTCGCGGACTCTGACACCTGCCTAAGTGGTGGAAGCCTTAGCCAAATTTTACAGTCCATTTCGCTAGATGGCAAATAGTCAACGAGCATCCTGAGCGAAGGAATAACACTGGTTCTGCCCCTTGTTACACTCAAATCATTTTTTTTGCAGATATTCGCCTTGTACGCCGAGACGATGGAACTGGCGCACGCTCTGTTAAAGCATTGTATTGTGGCCAATAGACTGAAACAGGTAATTAGGCGAAGAATGTGGTGGTCTGGCTAAGCGCCGTCGTTCAGGTGTCGTTCTTCACGCGTGAGGATGTGTGGGAGTGCAAACCGATCTCATCTCGACCTGCTCATCGACGTCACACTCGGGCCGTTCCTTCGAGCATCAAATGGACTAAGGCATGTGCATCCAATCCGCCTAGGGAGGCCTTTTAAGCGCTTCTTTTTTCAGGTGTACGCCGTCAACATGGGATTCCATATCGTCTAAGGATTTTGTCTCACAGAGTTTTACTGAAATGATCGATTTCACAATAACCAGTAGCCCCTCCGCTAGAACTGAACTTCCACATTCAAAAAGACTTTCACAGATCCCAAATACATTTGTTAAACTATAGTCATCCATTAACTATAATACTATGAGTCTAATCACATTCGAAGATAATATTGTATTTACGAAGCTATGATATAAAGATTGGAACATGTCCTGAACATGAGGAACACGTGTACGTAACGCTTTATGCGAGACAGCACCATTCAATGCCTACCAGGAAGTATAGGATAAGCGTTCATAGCCTTCTCTTCTGCACCAATATTAGCGTTAGTAACCGCTGAACCCTATCGCTGTATTCATGAGTTTGGAGCCAAAAGAAGGGTGCGCGGCTACTACGAAAACGACTTCTTCTAAGATGAGCCAAGAACCTCGCGATCATTTTGAATCCTGATAATTCAAAATGCGTCAAAGAAAGTATGGGAAGATATCAGTCGTTGACAGGAAATGAAACGACTTAGTAAAAATCAGGATTGAATTGATGTGGTAATCCCGCCGAATATGGAAGTAGGGATGGGAGGTGGGCTGCAAAAGGCGAAAAAGGGAAAGAAACCCGTGAAATACGCATACGAGCCTTCTGTACGCTGCGAAGATGTTAGGAGGTAGGCAAGGAAGTGATAGATAATGTGAGTCGAGGAGAGGGTAAGAGAAGTCCAAGTAGAGAGAGCGCAGCATATCAACATTGCGACGGTGAT